TATATATATATATATATATATATATATATATATATATATATGAAGAAAAATTTGGAAAAAACAAACAAAAATCCTTAAATGCAATTATGTTGTTTAAAATGAATGAAATGTCGACGTCTGACGTTTCGGTTTAATAAACCTTTTCAAGACAATATTCATTAAAATACAATTCAGTTCAATTTGACAAAGACGATGGACATAAACAACAAGTCTTATCAAAACAGATAACTGAAAATTTTAAAATGATCAGCTTTCCGTTTAGCATGGTCACGTTGATCATTTTAAAATTTTCAGTTATATATAGGACGTCATATATATATATATATATATATATATATATATATATATATATATATATATATATATATATATTTAATTATTTAAAAATATGGTTCATCGCTACACAGGAATTGCCATGTTTCAAAAACAGAAACTTAAAACTTCGAAAGTAACTCATATTTTGATACAATAGTTGTCAGTGAAAACGCATACCCTACCGCCCCTTGTTAAAATGATTGGATTTCCCCGTATCCTTATTATGAATGTATGTGCTTATATAACTCAGTAAATTTCAAACTAAATTATTCCAAAATTCACTTGAACATGAAACAGGACTAGGGACTTTAACTCTTTAATTGAATCTGAAGTTTTTAGTTTCTGTTTTTGAAACATGGTAATTCCTGTGTAGCGATGGAAACATATTTTTAAATTAGTAAATTTATGATTATACACACACACACACACATATATATATATATAAATTTATACTATATTTATAACTTAACTATATATATATATATATATGTATTCATAACTTAACTATATATATATATATATATATATATATATATATATATTCATAACTTAACTATATATATATATATATTCATAACTTAACTATATATATATATATATATATATATTCATAACTTAACTATATATATATATATATATATATATATATATATATATATATTCATAACTTAACTATATATATATATATATATATATATATATTCATAACAACTATATATATATATATATATATATATTCATAACTAATAATATATATATATATATATATATATATATATATATATATATATATATATATATTGAATAATATAGACATATTATGTCTTTTTATTTTTATATTAGTAAATATATAATAATTATATTCTGTAGATTTGCATGGAGCACTGTTTTGTTAAAATAAAAATAATTAATAAGAACACCGGATTATATATCATACTGTTCTTTCTCTTTATTATAATATATATATATATACATATATATATATATATATATATATATATATATATATATATATATAGATATATATATATATATATATATATATATATATATATATATATATATATATATATATATGAAAAAATGTATGTATATAAATGCGTATGTATAGACTCAACACCACCCATATGCATACATATGTCAAATCTGAAACTGTCCACATATGTTTATATATGTATGAGTCCCGACGGACAAGCAAGTGTGTATGTGTGCGTACCTCATCTGATGTACGGACATGCATCTATGTTTGCGTCAGCACGATGACATCACGACAACGATTCCCCCACTCCCATAATAACACCAATACACGCAATGTACATAAACCCAAATTTTTTAAAAAATTAATTAGTTTGTCTGACGATCGGAAAAGCGTGAAACCCAGGTTCACAAACTCACATCAATCAACAACTATATATATATATATATATATATATATATATATATATATATATATATCTTTTTTAATCCCATAACGCTTCAAAACATAGACAAACCTGGTTGGCCAGAGTTTCCTTTTTGTCATTATCTGGGAATCGCCATGATTTCTTAAAAGAATCGTTCCATGTTCCCTTCTGAATGCTTTGGAATTCAATATTCGTTCTCTTAGATTGAATTCCACCCAAAGTACAATCTGGAGGGAAAGGAGATGGATAAATGCTTTTCCCAATGATATATCAGCAAATTTCGAGATGTGGGGCGACACTTTTAGATATCTCAGCTTCTGTACAGTTGCATTAAATTTAAGGGTCCCGTATCGATACTGTATCGAATTTCAATGGCGTTGGTTACATTATCTTACACGCAAATACTCTTAGGAAAGGTATGAATCCCTCCTTTCTGCTCTCAGTCATGGGTTGAATAGCAGGACAGAATGGGTTGGCAACCCGTCTGCCGTGGAAAGAAAAGGCAACCTACTGCAAGAAAACCTTGTGCTTAGTCAGTAATGAATCCAAAGAGATATGATCACCCATGCGTGTATCGCGTATGACACTTACCTGAATGACTGAGCCATTGGTTTACACCGAAGTAACAATAATGGATCAGTTTTCCACAAGGCCAACTTCTAATGTAATTTATTGAACTGAACACAAGAATGAACTGATTTCGAGATGAGCAAGAAAAACTTAGCGTTGTGATATAAAATATATTAAAATCTTAATGATAGTGGTAATGTTCACAGTTACCTTACAAGGAAACATTAACTGGCCGTGAATCCATAGCTACCTTCGGCTGAAATTTGTAAAAGAATTCTACTAAAAATAGATACCTAAAAAAACGACACTTAAAGTGTAAAATGTATTTTAAAAAATGAAAAATCTTTCTTGAAGCTTTTAGTTTAGTTTTAATTTCAGCTTCGCCTCGTCAGTCATTAATCGAAAGAGATATGATAGGCCGAGAGTGTATCACGTATGGCCCTTAAGTGACTGACTGTATCGATACTGAATTATCCGAAGAAAGGTTCAATTTAACAAAGATTGAAGATGGAATCTGTCGGTAATAATACAGTTAAGGCATTTGACAAAAATAACAACTCTTTCTCAATCTGGACTGGAGCTGCATAATCTTCACTTCCCAGTCTTGATAGATCCCAACAGAATCTCAGAAGCTTAGTGAGCAATTAATTATTTTCCAACCTAAAACTTCTATCCAACAGATAAAACGTTACAAGCCTATCGCTATTTCTACGTTCAGCCGAACTAAATTTCTTAGTTCCACCAACATTAAACATCATAGTTAAGGTATGCCACGTCGTGTACCCTGAGGTGAACAATCCTTATTCCCTTCGTATTACATTAACGAGAAGTCCCACTTTAACAGGGCTTCTTTCCCAAAACTGTTACTTTGTGTAACCGACTCCCAAGAGGGCGCCCCGCACCCGATCATTACAATCTTAACCTCTCCAAGTCTAGGGTTAACCGTTGTCTTTCCCAAATATCCTCATAAACTGCGCCAATACCTCTTAACTTTACTACTGACAACACAACTTCCTTCAATAGCCTTCTACCTTGAGTGGCTCCTGAGCCTTTTATACGTTGGACATGAATAATTTTTTTAAAAAATATTCTAAACTGAAGCAATCTTGGAGACTCACAAACTTCATCCACGCAAAAAAAAATGTTCGTCACACTGTTTGCTAACATAAGAATAAGGCATCTAGTTCATCTAAACGTTCTGGATATGACGATGAACTCAATTCGGCAGCAGGGCTTCTGATCGAGAGGCTTTGAGAAGCATGGACTACCTCTTAATTGCTGTTGTTCCCAGGTCAACCCTGAGCCGTGGTGGTAGCACCTGTTAGGGTCCCAGCTATGGGCAAATAGTTAAATCAAACTGGGTCAAAACACTTTGAATGTATGAAAATAAATTTTTATAGTAAAAATACCTGCAATACATTTTAGAAAAATATTTCCAGCAATACATTTTTCTCTCGACAAAAAACCCCTTTCAAAGTTACATGAATGAAACATGATCTACAAACCGATTCTTACAAAGAATACATATTCTATTCATACAAACCTATCCTAAAAATCTTGCCTGAATTAAATAACCCATTGGGCAATACATTTTTGTAAAAGAAATTACTTGTGTGGCCATGAAAATTAAATTTCAGCATTAAATGACCCATCTTTTTCTTTCCTGTACCGTGTTCCTTCAGGACGTAAGCGATGATGGCCCTCCACATCTTCTGGTCCGTTCTAGCCCTTAGTTTAGTTTTTGCCTTTTTTCTTTTCTCCCAAACCCTGTTCAACCATCCATTTGCTCAAGCTCATCAAATATGTTACACACTGCTTTCCTCTGTCCCTTTTCCCCTCAATCTGCCCTGTGAGTATCAGATTTTCCAAGCCCTCCTTCCTCATTACGCGCCCCATAAATGAAAAATTTTCTCCCTGATGTTAAGTTTGTTTTCTTTTTGTTTCCATTTTCTCCAAAACTTCGTCGTTGCTCACATAATTAGTCTATGGTATCCTCAACATCTTTCTGTAGAACCATATCTCTGTTGCTTCAAGTCTCGTCCTCCCCCTTGAGAAGTTTGTCCAGAACTCGCTGCCATACAAGAGGACAGATACACTTCTTTGTTGTTTTTAACGAAATCTTTCTGTCTCTTAATAACTCTGCATATCTTTTGGCAACGCATCTTTGGCCAAAAGCTAAGCAGACTATTAAGAGACAGAAATGACCCATAAGGAGTTGATATGCCGCTATACAAACCAACAAACAAACCAACAAATCATTCTCCTATATTTTACCTCCACTAAAAATATTCTGCTAATTTTTTTCGCCGTCCATTAACTTTATCTACATTCATTACATTTTGTTAAAAATGACAATTATTAACGACATTTGTGTCATTTTTACGATTCATTATCTTTTTCTTGTAAGTAGGGGAATGAAGACAATGTCCTTGATTCTGACTTGAACCTTAAGCTTTTATAGAAATTGTTTTCTTTTTCTTGATCCTCACAGGGATGGCAAAATTATAGGTTTCGGTGTGGTAGAGAGTGTGGATGTGTATATGTATGTCATGGAAAGAGTGAAGAAGAAAGTGGAAGACAATCGTGTGGCGTATCGACATTCTTGATTGTATTTTCGTCATAGGTTGGCTAATGAAGCACTGGGCAGACAAAGGAAGCAGTCAAGCAAGAAGTGGAGGGGGTGATTTTACTCTAATCATCTTTTGCATTAAGTAGCAGGTTTCTAACTATCTGGTCATATCTATCTATCTATCTATCTATCTATCAGTCTGGTCATATCTATCTAACAGTCTCTTCATATATATATATATATGAATATATATATATATATATATATATATATATATATATATATATATACAGATAGATATAGATATATCACAATTTGTTCATATTTATCTATTCTTTCTTTTTCTCTCTCTCTCTCTATATATAAATCACAGTCTCTTCGTATTTATCTATCTATCTATCTATCTCACAGTCTCTTCATATCTATCTATCAATCTATCTATTTGGTCATATCTATCTAACAGTCTCTCATATATATATATATATATATATATATATATATATATCCCAGTATCTTCATTTATATATATATATTATATTATATATATATATATATATATAATAATTTCTTCATATTTATCTCTCTTTCTCTCTCTCTCTCCCTCTTTGTATATATATATATATATAACATTCTCTTCGTATCTATCTATCTCACAGTCTCTTCATACCTATCTATCTCACAGTCTCTTCATATCTATATATCTCACAGTCTCTTATCTATCTCGCAGTCTCTTCATATCTATCTATCTATCTATCTATCTATGTCTTTGAGCCAACGAGATAACAAGAAATATAAGACATTTTATTAGATAGATAGGGAATTAATTTAGGAGGCCAGATGAGATAGATACGTAAAAACATAGATATTAAAAGATAAGCAGAAATTAAAATGAGACAGAGTGATGAAAATATATTTTTCAATAGCACGCTTCCCCCATATATATATATATATATATATATATATATATATATTGCGAAATTAGTGGTTATTCTCAATGTTTTTAAATGGGTAATATTTTGCTTCAGGTTACAGACGTTATATCTAAAATTTTACAACAATGCCAGGAAACGTTAGTGAAACGTGTAATTTATATTTTAGAAATCACCTTTATATTAATATATGTGCGACTAAGCTCTACAGTCACTCTTTACATCCATATTTACTCTTTTCTTACGATGCGTAGAAAACAAATATGCGGCTAGCAAAGCGGTTACCAGCGCTGAAAACAGAAGCCGCGAGACTGATTACGTTCGTTTTTATGAATTAACAGAAAAGATCCCACATTGCTACCCGAACTGCTGAGTCATTTTGTCAATAGGCACTGACCTTCATCGGCTCTGCGATCTAGGCAATATCTCTTTTTGAGTAGCAACTCAGGTTCGGTCGATTGTCGGAGATACAAGTCCTAATATTTAATCCATAACTGTGGGAAGCAGATGGATTCACATCTTTCCCAAAGTTAATTGCGCGCAAGTGAATATAACGAACCCGACCAGAATTCGAACACGGATCATTCCAATTTCCCATTCTGTGTCGCTATTTATTACACTGTCCGCAGTATTCCATACTGCTGATATAATCTAATAAAGTACAATTTGTGTTACAACCATAATATAATTTCCTTGTTCCTTTTTCTATAAATACTTTCATGGCAATTGTTTAGATGAACTTTCCGCTATGGTACTTAGACTTTATGAATTTAAACGCAGTACTAGATTGGCGGAAAGGTCTCATCATTGTCAAGTTGAAATGGATAGATTTCACCGTATCTTCTATGCTAACAGTTTCTTGTCTCGCACTTCTCGCTTGTGGAACTCCCTTCCGGCTTCTTTTTTTCCGCTCAAGTCTGATCTCCAAAAATTTAAATGCAATGTCAATCGCTATCTTCTGTCTTCTTAATCCCTGTTCTTTTATTGTTATCTTTCCTTAAAAGCGTTTTTTTTTCTTTCTCATATTCTTTCACATTCAGTAACCCCCTTTATGTTAGTGGCTCTGCTGAGGTTAATTGATTAAAAATAGATATTCTTCTAATCAAATGGGTTTTTTTTATTTTAGATCTGATATTATATCCAACATGGCGTGTTCATAAAAACGCATTAAACTTTTAGATTATTAAGTTTATTTTTATTTCTGTTCATTCATTGTTCTTGCCCCATAATAATATTTTTGTCTCTTTTTTATATTCTTTCACACTTAGTAATCCCTTGCGTCTTAGTGGCTTTGTTGCCTTCCTTGGGTGGAAAATGATTAAAAAAAAAAAAAACCTGTTACTTTGAGAGAAGTTTGGTACCTATAAACAACTGCTATTGTGTCTTGAAATACCCGGTCCAGTGGATAGACGATCTTATAGGTCTTAAGATATTTTGAATTTGTTAAAATAATAAAGAGAATGATAAATGGTAAACCTTCTACTTTTGGACCTCAACAATTCTCTCTTTCTAGAACGCTGGAATATTTTTTTTTTTACCAATTTATTTTTGTCCACAGTTTCAAACTATTTTCTTCCTCACTTCCTAACTTTTGGTTTTGCAAACATTTTTTCCTCCCCAGAGAAATTCTTTCTTCTCACCCAACATTTTATTTTTTGTTTTCTGGTTTTATTTTATTTTTTTTTTTATTATTATTTTTTTAGCAATCGGAGTCTACAAGCGACAATGAACACACATCTTGAAATAATCATTGGAACCATATGGGAATTGAAGGGCTCGGCGTGCAATGCTTTACGTAAAAACAAAGAACCTCCCCCTTAACACTATCAGTCCAGGTGCTGCACCAACAAATTTCAAGTCAATAAAATTGGTCTATTAATGCTTTACGAGAAAGCAAATAGCAGAAACAAAGATCTCGTCTTTCGAAAACAATTTCTTTCTTGCATTACCATTTTTCGGTTTCACAGTACTTTAATTGAATCTGGTGCTAATCTTAATCAAAATGCCAACAATTTAATGAGTTTTATTAGTCACAAGGCGACAAGAGTAAGGCTGCTAGTGAGAATCTAAATCCCTTCTAAAGGAATTGGTCCGTGAATTTAACTTAGTAACACCTGCCCCATATTCAATAAGTGGGTTGGTTTGACTTTGTCCCCAGTATTCAATAAAAGTGGCCATTTTTAATAAAAGCGGAAGTTGGAAAATCATTTAATGGGTCAAACATTGCAAAACTGAGAAACGGATATGTTTAATAAACTCAGCAGTCGGGATTTTTCTGAAAATAAGTAAATAAACCGTTTATTTGGCACCAAAGATTCTTTTTCTCTGTACTTCGTCCTTTCAATACATAGCCGATCATGGCTCTCCAAAATTTCCTGTCCTTTGAAGATCTTAAAAGGGTGTCTTTTTGCTATCTTTCCTAATCCCTGTTCTGCCAAACATTTACACAAGCTAGTTAGGTAAGCTATACGCTGCTTACCTTTATCTCACTTGCTTTCAATATCTCCTTTGAGTTTCAAATTTTCTAATACTTCCTTCCTCAAAAATGGTAACTATGTCTTTCTGATTCTATGTATAAGTGTACTTGTTGTTTTCATTTTCTTTAAAAACTTTTTCTTTAATAACTAACTGTGAATATAGGTTTATGAACCGGGTTAAATGGAGATATGGTACATTGATCTCCCCAGTATTCGAGGGAAAAACAGTTGGGGAAAGATAAAAAAAAAAAAAAAAATGAATATACTTCTTACAATTTCGGGGAAGAAAACTCTTTCAATACATCGAGTAAAGAAAAACAAAGCCAAATATTTCAGCAAAATTAAAACCCTGAAATAAACTCTATACTTTTGAAGGCATTTCATTTTTCTGTAGGTTACACATACATATTAACTGTAAGGGTGTACGTTATGGTGTAATGGGTATGGGCTCCAAATGGGAAATCGGAGAGCTGAGTTCGAATTCCAGTCGGGATCGTTATATACACCTACGGGCTAATACCCCAGTTATTGATTAAATTAAATAGCAGGACGGACAGTTTCCTATAGCCTTGATTGGCAGCCAGTCTACCTCAGAAAGAAACGGCAACCTACTTCGGGAAAATCTTCTGCCTAGTCAGTCATTAATCAAAAGAGAAATGATCGCCTAAACGTGTATCACGTATGGCCCTTAACTGACTAATTAGAAATAAGGAAAACAGTTACCACGCTTTAATCCCAAATCACGCATGGCACTTCTTGTGTGTATGAAGGTTCGTAGTGTGTTTACTTTAATTGTTCAGGGGGAAGTTTAAGAACTTTTGTACGTTATTTTCTCCAACATTCTGTGTACTTCTCTACAAATAAAGGTTCTAGGTTAGTAATAATATAAATAATAAGTTAGAAAGAGTGTGAATATTGTTAACAGGAAAAAAGAGAAAAATAAACAGAAACGGCGATATATGAAAAATGTATCTATTATGGATTTTAAAGGTTGAGTGTTTGGTGCCTGATAGGTGAGGTGCGGGTTCATATGTAAACAATTAAAGAAGAGGCATACAATTCGGTTTCTACCACGGAACTTTTATTCTCTCTTATATATATATATATATATATATATATATATATATATATATATATATATATAAATATAAACTGTAGTGAAACAAAATTATCAATTTTTATTTATTTATTTTATTTATTTATTTATTATTTTTTTTTTTTTGCTAGGAGATCCAGAACTTAGGTAAAATAAGGATAGACATCGTTATAATTGCTGAGCTCAAGTCAGCCTTGCGCTGAGTTTGAACGACCCCAAAAAAAAGATTTTGCTTGATTCATCGGTAGTTAAAATGGTCGAGCTCAAGTCAGCCTTGCACTGAGATGGAACGACCAAAAAATGTTGTACTTAATTCATCGGTAGTTACATTGGTTGAGCTCAAGTCAGCCTTGCGCTGAATTGGAACGACCAAAGAAAAGTTTTACTTAATTCATCAGCAGTAATAATGGTCGCGCTCATGTCAGCCTTGCGCTGAGTTGGAACGACAAAAGAAAGGCGTCTCCAAAAGGGTATGTCCCGAGGGGGTTGGGATTTTTTCTTGTGTGTCTCATCTGGTTGCGTGTTTGGCGCGCTGGTAAATATCTATATCTCTAAGTCCAAGCCACAGGGTAGGACATCTTTCCTCCTGGCTTTACCTCGGGGGGATGTGGGGTTAGTTTATTGCCCGGCGCCTGAGGTATCACCAAAGAAGTAAGTGCCAAGGGGACTTGGGAATTTTTGCGTGATATGACCGTTAAATCCACTTTAAACCTCGACCTGTGTCACATCCGGCTGTGTTCAGCGTGTCCTAGTAAATACCTATATCCCTCTCTCTTTCTCTTTCGGTGTCTACCTTGTTCTTTTCATTGGGGATCTAGGTCTCAGTAGATAGGCGAACCTATCGCCTCGTTTATACTACTCCTTGTTCTTTTGAACAGGTGTAGTTGTTTATCCCTTGTTTCCTAATAATGTCTTTTTCATTCTCTTTCACTCCCTATCCCCCCTGCGTCTTAGTGGCATTATCGCCTTGCTTGAGGCGAAATGATTAAAAACTCTTCGTTCTGCTATTCCAACTCAATGTCGAATTCGTACTTACTGTCCTCTATAGTTTCTTACCTACTGTGTTCGCTTTCGCCATCACAAGCACTCATCCTTTCCTCCTGTAACTTTGTTGTCTTTTAACTTCTTGGACTTAGCCTGAGCCGCAAAACAACGAATCCACGTTTTTATGAAATCCGGCTCGTGATAGAGAGCCTATCGGTGACGGTCGTCTTGATGCGTTGTCTTCCAATCATGCAAAAAACGGGTGAAGGCATATCTCTCTATAG